GCAAGGGAACGCCATCTCCAGGCTGTTCTCTGTTTTGGGAAAAGCTGCGATTCCTGGAGCCAGGCCTGGGGCTTGCTGAAGAGGCCGCCACTCCCACTGTCTCCTCTCCAGTTAGTGTCGTGTCCCCTGCCTCCTTGTGCAGCTGGCACAGTGCCACTGCTCCACAGTGGTGGAATGGGAAATTCCCATGTGCAGCATGGCCTGTTTTCCCATCCACCCTTCTCTTCTCCAAAGAGAAAATGATATTTGTCAAGGCTAGGATTTTCTTTGATTCCCAGAAGTACCTGCTACTTTTCAAGAAGGTAAATCACATGTCAACCCTAGATTATATTCTTCTGGCTTCACTTGCACTGCATCTGTTAGAAATGCCTCAAAATTTTTCCCCCTAGCTTCCAAGTTGTGGTTTTCCCCTGAAATTTATATACCTCTATCTATTTTAGTTGGGATTGTGAAGAGAGATCCAGAAAGCTGTGCTCAAGTTGCTATCTTGCCTATTGATTCATAAAGAAATGCAGTAATTTGAATGAAATGATGAGATTTAAAATTAAAAAGATCATTTTGACTTTTTGGAGGATGGGTTTTGCAAGTGAGATGGTGGAGAAGGCATCATAGGAAGGGCATGGTGTTGCCCAAGGTAGGGATGGTGTCAGTGGGTATAGAAAGGAGTAGGGAGATGGTCCTAAGACATATAGAAGGCAAAACTGAATACTCGTTGAAGGATTAGATATTAGGAATGATAGAAAAGAAGGAATTAGGATGACCCTAATGCAACTAAGTATTGAGGTATTATAGCATCATCAACTGAGATGGGGAAATACTGGGGAAGGACCAGGTCTGAGGGGAAGTTAGTGAGTTTAGTGTCAGATTTGTTGAGTCTTGAAGTACCTTTTGTAAATTTAAGTGAAAATATTCAGGCTGGGAATGTGATTTAGCTCCCAGCTGGTTCTGTGGTCATTTGGCTAGCATCTCAGCCAGCTCTTGCAGTTCACCCAACCCAGAACCTTTTCTATCCTTTAGAAAAGGGAGCTGGTATTTTAACACCAGACTTCCCCCCCACCCCACTCCCTTCTAAATTAAAAGACCCTTGTATACTTAGCTGCCAGAACTTTCCTTCAGTTCCTTGTTCCACGAGGAAAGCTGCTCTGGCAGTTTTGGAGAATTAAGCTAGGCTTATTGCCCAGCATAAACTTCCAGCACCCACTCAGGGAGGAGGCAGAAAGCCTGGCAGCCATGTTTAGGGTGTTCTGGATTCTATATCTATCTAAGTACTCCCCAAATATGGTTAAATATAATTAAAATAGAACTGTGAATTCTTTATTATTTTCCATTTTATTCATTGGAAATACAGACTATTTCATTTACATTCTGACTTTAACAGACATCTGTCGGCTGCCCTGAGTACCTCACCACAACTTACAGCTTTGTTTCTATGAGAAAATATATTCCACATCCCAGTGAAATTTTGGAAAAAAGGTTATTTCTAAAACATGGAATACTTATCAATGTAACAAAAAATAAATCTTTTTTTTTTTTTCACTCAACTTTTGGATCTAGTCCTAACGTACCTGCCCATTATTCGTACTGAAGCTTCGTATACATTGCATTGACTCAACCATTCCATTCCACGGTTAATTTCCTTTTTTCTTTCCTTTTTATTCATAGTGTGTTGTTAATCAAACTCTACCTGATCAATCAAGTTTGTTCTTCATAAGGGTCAGAATAACCAGACGTCATCTTGACAACTAAATTGCTTTGCCATATAACACAGCCAAATCTCCCAGCATCCACTTGGAAAAATAAAGCGAGGGTATATATTTTAAAATGATGACTGGGGCTGTGCCTTATGTACCATTTATCTATTGCTGTGTAAAAACCTACCCCAAAACATGGTTGGCAGTTTGGGCTGGGCTCAGCTGTGCTGTTCTGTTTGTCTCAGCTGGGCCCACTCACATGTGTTTGGTCAGCTGGTGGGTCGATTGGGGCTGGTTTGTTTATGATGGCTTCATCGGGGTCAGCTGGGAAAACTAGGACCCTCTCTACGTGGTCGCTCATATTGCACTAGGCCAGGCTGGAGTAATGTGTGTGGTGGCAGCAGAGGTCCCAAGCGCAGTAAGAAAGTCAGACCCTAAGTGCATTTTTTGTTGATGTCCCATTGGTCAATTCAAATCACATGATCAACTTATTGTTTGGGGTAGAGAAAAAGATTCCATCTCTTAATGGGAATATCTTCAGGATAACACTGCAAGGATGTGGATGCAGAAAGGGGAATAAATTGCAGCCATTTTTACATTCTGCCTCACCTGCACTTAAGTATCCCAAATGATTAACATTAAAACTTTTAGAATTTTATAACTAGAATAGATATATGTCCGCAAAGTTGTTCTTTTTTTATATAATGCATCTTATAACAGAAACAATGTCGTTTTTGAGTTTAGCTTTTATCTAATCTCCATGTTTACATCATTTCCCGGTTCTGGTTTTGGCATTTACCACATTGTTATTGTTAGTAGTGCCTTGGTTTTGTCAAACGTACTGTATTTCTCCTGTAATTTCATGGTGAGAGAGATCATTTGAAACATTGTTATTAATAATGCCAGATTTTATTCCTAAATTATTGATTTATTGAGTGTTGAATAGAAATCTTCAGTGTTTAGGTATTCTTCTAAGTTTTTCCCATTGAATATTATAATTACCTCCTCCTTCCACATGATGTCTCTGTTTATACAGGGTGAGAGAGCTTGAACGGGCCTTGGAAATCATTTTCCGTCTAAACCCCACATTTTATCTACCAAGAAATAGGCCCTGAAAAATCCCAGTTACCTGCCCAAGGTCACACAGCTGATTAATAGTAGAACTGGGACTATAGCAGCCAGGTCCCCTGATTCCCAGTTTAATACTTTTCCCACTGTTCGTTTACTGATTCCCCTTCGAGTATTTGGAGTACTTTAATAAGCCAAAAACATCTAAATTCCCTTCCAGATTTTCTAAAATAAGGAGTAGGTCATTTTCCCTTATCCTCTTTTCCGTGTTTCCATCCTATCACTTTTTAGCTTTTCCTCACACAGGAATTGTAATGTGCCTGGGGAACTGATCAGATCTGCCATCTTTAGACAGAAAATATCTGCGTATGTTTTACAACTAGTAGTTATATTATAAGTGTATATAACACAATCCCCAACCTCTTAACACATGTTATAAATTGAGAATTATATCCCTTGTTTATAAATCCTTGAAAACAATCACCAATTTTGTTTCCTGATCAGATTTGAAAGGAAGTAGTAATTCATTTAAAATGATTGGGAGTTGCAAGACCATAATGTTTCTAGATAACTAAATTATACAACCTACTGCTGGAGATTTTCATTTTTATAATTTGATTTTTGCCGTGTTTGAATTTAAATCAAATGTCAGAATTTTTTAAATGAATATTATTATGCCTTTTAAAGTTATTTATGTATAGACTTCTTACCCCAAAGGGGAATTTACATCACCTTGACAAATAATTGGCTCTTCCAATGGTGTTGTTCAGGAGGCTTACCGGGAGGAGCAACTGATCAACCGACTGATGAGGCAGTCCCAGCAGGAGCGCAGGATTGCTGTGCAGCTCATGCATGTTCGGCACGAAAAGGAAGTTTTATGGCAAAACAGAATTTTCAGAGAAAAACAATATGAGGAAAGACGACTTAAAAATTTCCAGGATGCCCTTGATCGAGAAGCGGTAAACATTATTTCCCTTAAAATTTTTTCTAAGGTTACCTTTTATCTTTTCTACTAAGCCGTAGTAAACAAATGCATATTTCATTGCCAATCACCTAATACCAGTTACCTTTTTTTTATATATATATAATCTCCCTATTCTCTTTTCATTTTTATAGTTGTGCAACTACATTGAGAGAAAAAATAGCCATTACATACTATGATCTCTTTCTTTAGTCTTGGTTCTACAGGTAATTAAATATTTAACATTCACTACCAGCCCTTATGTCAGTGTCTCTCTACTAATTTTGATTGTCTGAAGTCTTTTCTCTGATTCAACCCTCAGGAAGTTCTCATGGCAACCATATTCACTGAGTTCTTGTATGTTGATAACAGTCTGGGTCTTTTACACTTGATTGTTAATTTTGCTGGATATAAAATTCTTGGCTCACATTTTCTTTCTTTAAATATCTTAAATCATGCTACTCTGTTTTCCTCAGGTATAAGTGCCGCTGTCAAAAAGACTGATAATAATTTAATTTTTGTTTTCTTGAGTCATTGCTTGTATTGTCTAGATGCCCAAAGGACTTTCTTTTTCCTTAAAGTCCACTAAGTTTATGAGAACAGGTCTTGTGGTCAGTCTAGGTTAATTTTCTCAGGCCAGTGAGAGCACTTTTAAGCTGCCTACTTCAGCAACACCATTAGTCTTTATTTAGCACTTCCTTGCTATCTGATAAAACAAGATTTCTCAGGCCCATATTGCACTTTTCCTTCCTCAGAGCTAGAATAAGCCATTTCTTCAGGGTACTCTGGTTCCTTGTAGTTAAGGATGATCTGGGTGGTGGTGTGCTCCTTGAGCCAAGATCTGGGTGCTAGACATGCTCTTTGTTACTGTGGTGGCATTGGGTATAGATGCTTTAATAGCTCTGAAAATCGAAATATCCAATCTTTAAATTATTTAACACATTGCTATTTTTTAACTTTACAGACATAAAGATAGATAGGTAGGTAGGTAGATTCTAGAAACCAAAAACAGGTTTATTTTATTAATGGTTTATGTGGACCACTTCTTGTCTCTTTCCTGTTAGGGCTGTTTCAGATCTATTCATTCCATTAGTCCAGATTTGACTGAAGAGGTAGAAAATGAATATGAAAGACATTTTAGATAACCCATATTTGCTTCCATAAAACATTCATAAAACCAGGCCAGGCAAAAGAGAAAACCGTACAGAAAACAGGAAGGCAGTGCATTATTTGATAGCTTCATGGCTCCCACTAGGATATTTAGTGAAAATGCCTATAGCTTTTGCCAAAATATGCAATTTTTAGAAATGTCATTTAGAAAGTACTATGCTCTCCAGAGATAGGAAAACTGTGCCATTCCCTTTATAGAACAGCCTAAATGTTGGGGCTAGGCGTGGGATGGAGAGGAGGAGCCATACCCTATGAATTTGAACTGCATGGACACTGACACCAAGCTTCCTCTTTGGCCTCAAGAGCTGAATTATCTGGATAGTTGTTTCATCCCTCTTCTTTGACAAGAGTAGACTTGAATGGATTGAGTGATATTTGATTACATTAGAAGTGGTGGTTTTTGGCATGCACGTATCATGTAATTCTCACAAGAGTCATTTAAGGTAGACACTATCCTTATCTACATTTTACACATAAGGAAAATGAAGATTAGAGGGCTCAGGGTCACACACATTGTCAGTAGAGTAGCAGCAAGCAAAGCCAGCTCTACCAGACTCCAGGGTTCCAGCTCATAACCACTGAGATTTAGTACCTCCCACATACTTCCTTTTTCCTTTTCTTCTTTCTCTTTTTAGGCTGCAACCCACTTTGCTGTAATAGGGCAGGAAATCGTGGTGTGTTCAGCAGGCAGAGTTTGAGGTAGAGGTAGAAGAGGAGAAGGAAGACTAGATACCTGGAAAGGAAAGGAGGGAGGAAGGGAAGGATACAAGAGCAGCAACCCAAGTTTGAAAGTGCTTCGATTCTTGATAGAAAAACTCTATTGTTCCCTTTGAGTCTTAGATTCCATCACATCCTGATATTTCCACATATTTCACAAGCAGTCTGGAGTGAATCAGCCTTAGGCCCCACTTTAGTGACACTGTCTCGTGAATTCTCATCTAATGACTCCTACTCTCTGATTCCTCCTTCATACTTCATGGAGTGTGCCATAAAGCTTTGTACTTAAACTGCATTCTT